TGCTGGGGCTTGGCCATTCTCCCAAAGCGGGACTTAAAGAAGAGGTGGCTCCTGGGAAACAGGAGCCCGCAGCACAGGACAAAGCTTTCTCCAGCCTCCTGGGACACCAGCTTCAGGAGAGGAAGGGCCACACTGTGCCTTGCTTCCATCCCTCCACATTTCCACTTGTAAACCCCTGAGATGTTTCTCTTCTCCTGCTCTCTGTTTCTCTATCTCTGTTGGACTTTGTTACAGAAGAAATAAAGCTTTTGGGTTTTTTGTTTGGTTTTTTTTTTTTTTAGTTTTATAAAAGAGAACATGCACTGGGTTATAAAGCTGTTGGTGCTGTGGTCTCTGCTGCAAGCAGTGCCCCATGCTGGAGCTGAGAGACCCTCATGGGGTGATGCAGTCCATAGCCAGCATCTTGTCCTGCCGCCTGGCCTGCTGAGCCCTGCCAGCCACTTGGTCCCCAACACCAGCCCCCATGGCCCGAGGGCACCGGGGGAACCGTTGATGGGTGGGATGTGCCGGTGTTGCAAGGAGAAGCTGTGGCCCACACTGGGGCTTGTGACACAGAGGCAGAGGCTTTGGTGGCTGTGAAGTGCAGCTGTCAGGAAACCTGCAGGCACAACTGGCACCATCTGTCTTCCTAGCTGGGCTGTAGCAGCTGGCTGTGTGGATGCATTTACACCGCAGCATTGATTCGGGTGTTTCTGCTTCAAGGGATCTCCAGTGGAATCAGTTGAGCCATTCCCAGTTACTTCTCTGAATGGCCGAGGCATCTGTTTTCTGCTCACAGTGGCTCTAGTGCACCTGACTCCTGGTGCTTGCTTCCACTGCGATCCTGTCCCCACGTGCTGTGTCGTGCTGTCTGTCAGAGTGGCGAAGCCCCCTAACCTGCCTGTGCTTTCCTTCCTGTAGTGTGCAAATACGTGGCAGTGGAGCTGAAATCTGCTTTTGAGGAGACGGGCAAGACCAAGGAGGTGATTGACACCAAGTACGGCTTCCTGGACGGGAAGGGCTCTGCCGTCAAGTACACACAGTCGTAAGTGAGAGAGAGATGGGTGGTCTCTTGCCACTGTCGCTGCCTGCAGTCTACAGAGCCAGGGGCTTTGGGAGCCTGCGGACAAGCTGCACTGCGCACAGCTCCTCTGAGGAAACTGAACTGTGCCAGGGCTAGTGGGGTGGGCAGGGTAGGGCAGCTGAGGGAGGCTTCTGCTTGGGGGAGCCTGGGAGTCCCAGAGTGCTACCCCATCCATCGGCTGGGCTGAGGGTCTCCTTGTGCCCTGGCTGTTCTTGGAGTGCAGTGCCAAGCCCTCATCCTCCCTCCTCTCTGTGCAGGGACATCCGATTAATCGAGGTGACTGAGAACATCTGCAAGCGGCTGTTAGATTACAATCTGCACAAGGAGAGGAGTGGCAGTAACAGATTTGCAAAGGTGAGGGCTGTCCTCCAGTCACCAGCTCCCAAGCACCCCTTGCCCGCATCTGCACTGCCAGGGAGCCGAACTGGGGTTCATTCTTCCCATCTCCTGGATCACCTGCCAGCACCCAGCATGTGAGGCCACACTGCCTCCCAAGTCAGGGGTAGGGTGCTGTCCTTGGGGTGGGTGGGCGGGCAGACCCTCACCTGCACAGAGGGACCCAGGGGCTGTCTTGCCTGGCCCACATCTTCCTGTTGGTTTTGGGAGCAGGTTTGCAGAGGGGGACTCACTGCTGCTCAAGCTCCCTCCTGGTAATGCTGATGCCCCAGGGACCCCAATTTTGGCTGGCATGCACGTTCCCGCATCCCTGGGCGCGGTTGTGTGACTGGTGCTGGCGAGGGGAGAGCGGGAGCCTGGCAGAAGGAGTGGCACTTCACCAGGGCAGCACTGCTCCCCCAGGGCATGTCGGAGACGTTCGAGACCCTGCACAACCTGGTGCACAAGGGCGTCAAGGTGGTGATGGACATCCCCTACGAGTTGTGGAACGAGACCTCCGCTGAGGTGGCTGACCTCAAAAAGCAGGTACCCAGCCTTGGTGGGATTGTCCCTTGGCAGCTGCTGTGGCCTTGTGGGCTGGAGCAGAGGGGGAGAGAGGGTCAGGGGTTGCGCTGCTGGGAATGGAGGTGTCAGCAGCGCCTGCCGCCCTGGTCTTGGTCCTGCCCTGGCAGCACGTGGCTGGAGCTAGGCTCTCTGTGCTAGTGCGACGTGCTGGTGGAGGAGTACGAAGACGTGATCGAGGACTGGTACAGGCACCACCAGACGGAGGATCTCTCTCAGTTTCTCTGTGCCAACCACGTGCTAAAAGGGAAGGACACAAGTAAGTCCTGGGGGCTGCCCCGGGCAGCACAGGCATGCTAGGGGGTGCGGGGGAGCCCTGCCAGGGCCCGGGGAGCCCCACTTCTCCCTTAGCACCCCCTCTGCTCCTTTCCTCCCCAGGCTGCCTGGCAGAGAAGTGGACTGGCAAGAAGGGTGACTTGGCCAGTGTGGGGGAGAAGCAGGGCAAGAAAAAAAGTGGGAAGAAGAAGAAGAAGGGCCGGAAGGATGAGAGCGAGGGAGCTAGCAGCCTCCCAGCTGCTGTGGAGGCCCTGGAGGAGAGCGGGGTGCAGGAGGAGGCTCCGCTCACCCACAGCCCAGCCGATGAGCTGTAGGTATGCATCCCCAGCCCCCGGGGCTGCCCGCTCTGGGGTCTCACGGTGCCGTGTCCTGCGGGTACCAAAGGAAAAGGGACTTTGTGCCACGGCATCAGCGACCCGGGGGAGGCTGGAGCGCCCAGCCCAGACTTGCCGGCCTGGGTGTGATCCTGTGTGCAGGGGGGTGGCATAAAGC